AGGAAGGAAGGAAGGAAATGATGGTGGAAGGAAGGAAGGAAGGAAAAGAGGGAGGGAGGGAGGAAGGAAGGAAAAGAGGGAGGGAGGGAGGAAGGAAAAGAGGGAGGGAGGGAGGGAGAGAAGTTCTTGATTGGGTAACTGGAGCAGGATGAGGACTGCCTTTCTTACTGCTCCATTGTTTGTTATTAACTTCTCGCCCTGTCTTTACCAACAAGGTCAGAAACAAGCAGGGAAGCCCTTTTCAGTTCCCATTACCAGCTAGTTCTGATATTGCTCCCTGAAAATGCATACAGAACAACAAACAAACAATTTCCTTTCCACTGAGGAAAGATGAAGAAATGATAAAGGATTCCTGACAAAATGCTTCTAAAATGCTGTTTAAAAACAACATTTGGAAGTAACAGGAGAATTTCACTTGTTACACTAAAATATAACTTTGTAACTACTCGTTGCAGTATTCTTGAAATAAAACCTCTCAAAAGTAACTACTGTTTTCCCCCAAAAATAAGACAGTGTCTTATATTATTTTTCTTCCAAAAATGAATCAGGTCTTATTTTCAGGGGATGTTTTATCTTTTTCCACGTACAACCATCTACGTTTATTCAAATACAGCCATGTCATCTTCTGGTTGCTGTACAAGGGTGGAGGGCGGGCTTTCGCTTAACTAAGGCTTATTTTTCAGGCAGGGCTTATATATTACGAGCATCTTGACAAATCCTACTAGGGCTTATTTTCAGGTTAGGTCTTATTTTTGGGAAAACAGGTAGGAACACTGCTTTGCAACACCTTCTTCCTAAACTCTGGTTCCTATCCGGTGAGCGAGGCGGGTTTCCTTTGGCTGCAGTTCTCAAGCCAATGTTAGGAAAAGATTTACGCCCAACACAACCACCACCAGCAAGTTTCCAAAGACCAGAAATCAAGGCAACGAGAACAAAAAGAGGAAAAGATGATCCTCTGTATGCCCAGGAGGAGGGGGAGGAAGCCAGGTTTTCAGAGGAAAGGACCACTGCCAGGATTTGAGATGGTCCTACACACACACACACACACACACACACACACACACACACACACACACACACACACACACACACACA